TTCCATGGCCCGTGCAGTGTTTTTCTGATAGAAACGAACAGGCGAGTCCGAAGAAGCAGTTCAGAAGTAAAAGATGCGATCGCTGGACCAAGAAGTTTATGTGCCTGACGTTTCGGATCCTGGCTTGAACCCTTTTATCCGGGATAAACGCATGATGAAAATAAATTTCTTGTTCCAGCGATCACATCTTCTACTTCTGAGCTGCAGTTTCCTTTGATTTTATATGGGAATCAACCAATATATCAGACAGAGCTTAGAACTGCCATTAGCCTCTCCTTCAATTTCTTCTCTACCTAATGATCTCGATGATGGTGTCCTTACTATCACACCCTCTCACATCCACCTCACAATCGCATTAACTGAATTTACTTCCCTTCTGTCTATGCGCCGCTTTAGGCTTTTGCAGCGGCTTGTGAAAAGGCATAAACGTCTGGTCAATGAACTGCGTAATCATAACGGAGAACAGAACGAGGAACATCAGGAACCCTCTCCAGCGGACTCCACAGTGGTGGACGCATCCTCTCCTGTGCCCTCTGTTAAGGTCAACATGGCACCCTCCACAAATGCCTTGGTTAGCATTCAGCTCCCTGTGTTCACTTTTTCTTCATTGCTTTTCAAAGTGAATAGACTCATTGGATTTACCGTAAGACCTACTAAACATGTTTGCATTTTCAACTACTAATTACTAGACCCAAACTGCTTTAATAGTACCGTGCCTCTGGTTGTGTCTTGAGCTTGACTCCTGGCTTGTATTCGTAGATGCAATTCTCTAGCTAAACCTTCACTCGAGAGGCAACTTTCCCTCAATGAACATTAGTCAACCTGGGTTTGAACCTGCACACCCTTGTCATCAAACGTTGAGTCCAACAGCCTAGCATTAATTCCCAGGCCTGTTATCCTTTCAGTTGCGTTGTGCGATGAAAGTAATCGTGGGATATCCCGCTGGGATTAGGTTCTGGTACATTTCCACTTGAATCTTCCGGCTCCGGCTAGAGCATTCGCAAGAGGCCGCATAACAGTCAGAAATATGTGCTTATGGGATGCCGACAAAGACGAGGGAGCCTGTGACGACCATTTCTGGC